TGTCAAGATAAAAGATCAACATACAAAAATCAACTGGACTTCTCTACAATGACAAAAGGAACATAAATGTAGCTAAGAAAAACAATATGAAGTGCAATACCTAGCCACAAGATTAAATATTTGGGAGAAAATCTAACTACAAATACAAAGGACCAATCAAAAGAGAATTACAGAACATAACTACAAGAAACAAAAAGAGACCTAGAGAAATGGAAGAATATACCATGTTCATGGATAGAAGGACTCAATATCATGAAAATAACTGTTCTACCGAAGGCAATCTACACTTTAAATGAAATCCCAATACAAATACTAATTTCATTCTTCAACAAGAAAGAAAAGGCAATGTCCAATTTAATCTGTAGTATAAAGAGACCTTTAATAAATAAAACACTCCTGAAAAAGAGAAGCAACGTAGGAGACATTTCACTCTCTGATCTCATACAGTTGTGTTGGTTAAGATGGCATAGTACTGGTACAGATACAGACACATAGATCAATGGAACAAATTGAGAACCCAGATATTAGCTCATCTACCTATAATAAACTGATTTTTTACAAGGAGATGAAATCAGTTAAGTGAGCAAATGAAAGCATCTTAAACAAATGATGTTGGCAAAATTGGAAAACTACCTGTAGTAAACTCAAGCAAGATCCACACCTTACCCCATACACAAAAAACAACTCAAAGTGTACCAGGGACCAAGGAGTAAAACCAAGGACTATAAACTTCATCATAGCAAAGCTTGGAAGAACTCTAGAAGAGTTGATTTAAAATATGAAAAGTCTTCTAAGCATCTTGAAAAATCTGTAAGCAAGAGAGAATAAAACACATGAATGAGATCTTCCAAGAATCAAATCTCTATGTAGTTATTATGTGCTATTAAGTCACTTATGACTTATAGTGACCCTGTGTGCAATAGCTCTGAACCTTGCTCTATCCTGAGCGAACCTTATCTATCATCACTGACATACATACCCCACTGCTCCGTCACTGAATCAATCCATCTCATCAAGGATCTTCCTTTCTTCCACGGTGCCTCCACACTCTCAAGCATGATGTCCCTCTTCAAGAACTGGTCATTCCTTGCAACAAGCCCCAAATATGTCAGACAAAGCTTCAGAATCCTTGCTTCCAAAGAGGAGACTGGTTTCACCCTCTATAGGACAAACCTTTTTGCTCTCCTAGCAGTCTATGGTATATTCAATACTCTTCTCCAACACCACAGCACAAAGGCATCAATTCTCTTTCTATAATCCCTAGTCATTGTTCAGCTTTCTGATGCATAGCAAGTAACTGTAAAGACTATGGCCTGGATCAGGTGCACCTTTTTCTCCAGACTGGCATCATTGCTTCTCAGTACCCTGGAGAGATCCCTTAAAGTAGATTTTCCAGTACAACTCATCTTTTGATTTTCTGGTTCTTGGCATCTTGAATGTTCATTGTGGAGCCAAGCAAACTGAAGCTGTTAACAATCTCAATCTCTTCATCATCTATCATGATGCTACCAATTGACCCAGTGATGAGAATAATTGTCTTCTTGATGTTGAGCTTCAGTCCATATTTAAGGCTGCAGTCCTTGACCTTCTGCAGCAAGCACTTTAGGTCCTCCTCAGTTTCAGTGAGCAAGATATGTTATCTGCATAATGCAGATTGTTGACAAGTCTTCCTCCAAGCATGATGCCACATTCCTAGTAATAGAGCCCAGCCTCCTGAATTAGCTGGTCCACATATAGATTGAGAAGATATGGAGAAAGGACACATCCCTGGTGTGCACCCTTTCCGATTTTTAACCATGCAGAGTTAGTTTCTCTATTCTGATGACTGCCTCCTGGTCCAAGTATAGATTTAATATAAGCACAATCCAAGTGCTCTGGGATTCCCATTCTTCTCAGGGGTAGCCACAATTTATTAGATCCACACTGTCACACATAGTCAATGAAACACAGATAGAGTATGCACAATAGTATTCTCCAACAGAGTAAAAAGGAAAGTCACAGACTGGGAAAAATATTTAATGATCACATATCTGATAAGGGACTCATATAAAAAATTTCTAGAATAACTCCAGTACTTCAACAAAAAAAGTAGGACCAGATGGGCATAGGATATAAATAGACACTTATCAAAGAAGACATTCAGATGACAAACAAACACATACAAAAAATGTTCAAAATTTCTAACTCTCAGAGAGAGGCAAATCTCTGAGATACCATGTCACCCTAATAACTATAGCAAAATTCAACAGAGAACAAAAAAAAAAACAAATGCTGGTGAGGTTGTAGAGAGATTGGAATCTTTCTTCACTTTTGGTTGGAGTGTAAAATGGTGCAACCACTATGGAAGGTGGTATAGCACTTACTCAAAAAGTTGGAAATAGAAATGCCATTTGAATCAGAAATTCCATTACTTGGAATATAGTCTAAAAGAACTAAAGCTGCCACCTAAATAGATAAATGTGCATCCATGTTTACTGCTGCATTATTCACAATAGCAAAAAGGTGGAAGCAATCTAAGTGCCCATCAACAAATGAATGGATTGAAAAAACCCTATGGTATATTCTTCACGCAATGGAATACTATGCAGCACTGAAAAGCAAGGCACTCATAAAATGTTGCACAACATGGATGACCCTGGAGGATATCAATGAAATATCTCTGTCACAAAAGGGCAAATGCTGTATAAAGCCAGTGTCATAAAACAGGACTGACATGGGGTTGGGGAAAAACTAAGAAAAGAGAGGATAAATAATGAAGACTTATTGGAATGGATGAAGGAAAGAACTGTTTAAAAGGTATATATGATTAGGCATTATATATATTACAGCAGTCCAGAATAAGAGGTGCATAGAAAAGTAACCTGGGTAAGGGTGGGAAAGGGAGAAAATGATGCAATAATGAATGAATTTATATCTATTTATTTTTTAAGTGATCTGGGGGTGGTAGGAAGCAAACTGTGCAACAGCGAATGAATGAAAATCCAATTTTTCTCTAAACTTTCATTAAAATTATAATTGAAAAAAGAAAATTTTCACACCTGTACCAATAACATCACATAGATTGGAATAATTTATTTTTAAAAAACATCTTTCCAATTTCAGATAATACAAATTCTTTTAAAATATAATCACACATATTTATGAAAATAAATGTATTTAAAATTATTTTCTTTCTTGTTGGTTTTGTATTTTTAAATATATGTATTTTTATTTTCTCATAGGCACATTGGGAAGGTCTCACAGGAAGGATTACTTTCAACAAAACCAATGGTTTGCGGACAGATTTCGATTTGGATGTGATTAGCCTTAAGGAAGAAGGTCTTGAAAAGGTACTAAGACATGCAGCTTATTTACTTATTTGTTAAATGGAATATATGTCAATTAAGGATATGTTCTTTTATAGTAATATTGCACAGATAACTCTACTGAGAAATTGACAAAGTTATAATTTGTTTTACTGATGAAGTTATTGTTGAATATAGTAGTTGTTGGTCATAATTAAAGAAGAAAATGTTATCTAAGTCAGTTAAAGATACTTTGTTTCTTACACCTTTCTGAAATTGATACACTATTAGCCTTAAGATTTAATATTTAGTACTGTGATTAGAAAATACTTTCTTTGATATGGATACCTGCAACATAACCACTTCTACTTGCTGAAATTTTGCTACCTGGAGCAGAACATAAAAATAAATTCAGAAGTATATTCCCAATGCTCGGTTATATGCAAGTGAAATGTATTAATAACTATAGCAAAATAAATGAAATCAGGAATTAATATATTAAGTGCTAGAGATATTAATTAGATGTATTTCTTACTTGAATCTATGTTTAGGGATTGAGGTTAAGGCTTATAAAGTTAATGATGTATATACTTTAAGACTATTTGAAATTAAAAAAATACATTATTTTTAATATATTTGTGATAAAACTTTGGCTCTAAGATAAGAACATCAATCTATACTAAAGATGGAACTTGTTAATTATGTCATTTAGCCAGCTCTTAAAAGATTTTATCCCCCCCCAAAAAAAAAGATTTTATCCCAGTGTTTATGACAAAATTATTAGTACGTTTTTGGAAGTAGTTACTAGAATGTCTTTGACAATTGCTTAATTTTTAATAAATCAAGGGGGGAAAAGACAATGCTTTTCATATGATATATAAATTTATCATTCCCTAGGGAACTCTGATGACATATTTCATAGTGAGTTCTGCTGCTAACCCAAAGCTGTGAATCACTGGCAGTTCAAATCTACCAGCGGCTCCTCACGAGAAAGAGGGCAGTCTTTTCCCATTGTGATTTATAGACTCAAAATTCCAGTGAAGGGTTGCTATGAGTTAGAACTTGCTCAATAGTAACAAACTCAGTAGTGAGTTTGAGTTTTTGTGAGACTGTCTTGGATTCTGAATAAAGAATACAGTTCTGTACTTGATATTAAGTGAATTCATGTGATGAATCACCATATTGATATATACTGAGTTAGCAAGTTTGTCCTTAAGTTCTTTAACTATTTAGCAGTCTTCCAAATTTTGAAGATTTGCTTTGCTTAATTAATTAAGCATAGTCTATATACTCAAGAGACTTTTAAAACTGTCATTAAATAATGTATTTGTGAACAAAATCAATATAATGCCCTTTCAAGTCTCTAAAAGATCATTAGAATATTTCAGTAAAGGTTATGACAGAATCATGGTAACTGCATTACTGAGAAGTAACCTTATACAATGGAAAATTATTGATTGGTAGAGAGTAAATCATTTCCGGAGGAGATGCACAACAGGAGTTAAAGAAGGAGAGGTAGAAATAAAATGCTAGATTGAGTCAGAATAGTCACCACGTGGAGACTTTTGAAATGTATTGGTATGCAGTGGTGATCGCTTTGACTCAATTTAGTATTCAGAAGGTTTCTGCGTTGCTTGGAAGGATATACTATTGCACCAGATATTTTTAATATGGACTCAAAATTGTTCTGAATGAGAATAAGAGATGAGTAAACAGTTTAAGAAGACATTAAGCAAAACAGATTCACTATTTTAAATGCAAAGAAGCACACAGAATTAGTACTACACTTTTAAAGAGAAATATTAACAGGTGGCAGAGGGAGAGGACTCAGCAATAAGATACAGGTCAAAGATGAGCCAAGAAATAAGCAAGTACAGGAATTAGAGAGATAAATCTTACCCTAACAAGACAGAAAATGAACTGAAGATCGATATAGCTGACCTAGAGAGAAGGAAAATTAAACATTTCACACCAAATATGTTTCTAAATTAGTAAAGAAATTTATAGAGATGTAAAGTGGTTCCTTTGTCTCATTACCATCTAGGCTACTTTAACTTATAGTTAAATCCACTAACAGATTTCCAAGGATATGAATCACATGAGGAGAGCCTGCTTTTCTTTCTCTCTCAGAACTGCTGGTGGATTTGAACCACAAAAGTGCCACTTAACTCTCTAGAGATGATGCTACCATTTGTTGTTATGTGCTGTTGAATATAAACTGACTTGTAGCTGACCTCTTCAGAGCTTGTAAATCTCACAGGACATTGCCCATTTTTCTTCCACAAGTAGGTGGTGGATTTGAACTACCTGCCTTTGAGTTAGCAGCACAGTTCATTATCAATACTAAGCCATAAGAGCTCCTCAGGAGCTCCCTTAAGAAGAGAGTGAAGATTTAGCTAGTACTTGAGAAAAATGTAAATGTCTTCAGTTTACAATTGTAACAAATTTGGCAATCGATTTTGTTTTGGGGGAAAGAGTACTGTCAGGAAGCAAAATAATCTTTTTTTTTTTTTTT